TATAACAAGTAAGTCTCATTCAATCTCAGACAGGGTTTAGATAGGGCAGTGGTAAAGTTAACTAGAGCTAACAGTGAGTTCATTTCAGGGTTTCCGTCAGAACCCACTTGACCTGAGTTGACCGGAGTTGACTGCGAGAGATTGACTGCCGTTTGAGACTGCCGTTGATGATTGAGGGTGGCGATTGTCGCCATTGGACCGATCAGTGTAGGCCTGTCACTGTTTAGCGGGGTAGCAAAGGATCTCTTGAGTGAACGAGTGCTTCCGACAACTAAAACGACGGGACCAGCATCCACAGTGGGTGATCAGTTCTTACCACTCGGGTGCACAACACCACATGTCCCGAGCAGCTTAGTGAAACCCTCTTGCTAACGGGAAGCTAAAGCTTCTCTCAACTGTACAAGGTCTGATTGGCTCACTCCCTTCCGCTTTATGGACGCACTGGGAGTACACTGAGGCTATCTGAGTAAACTAATGGTCACACACTGAGACCGTGAGTCTAGGTCTCTAGGAGATACCTAGAGGAACATTTTCCCTCCCTTATTACGGGTGTAGTTAATACCATTCCTCAGACTGATATTATCTTGACGTGTGTAGTTTAATAGTTCCTAAATAATTTTGATAGTATTATTTTTGAATGTTTGTGTCATTAAGTGGAACCAGAGTGATACTGTGATTTGATTCTTTTAATGCATCTAATTTTTCTTCATAATTCTGATCTCAGGTATAACCTTGTTCCCCAGAGTAGTGGTTAAGTTAGGTTAGGAAGTGTGCATCTGTTGGGGTGATGTTATTTTGTTGAAAGCCCTTAAGGCCTATTCATTGTAGAGTAGTTAATTTCTTATTTTTTAATACCATTTCCTAAGTGACTGATATCATTTTGTGAAAGCCCTTAAGGCCTGTTTCGTGTGTGCAAGCAACATTTCTTAATACTTCAAATTTATTGTTGGCTGAGCTTCTAATAAATTCTATGTCATGTATAACTTTTATTTCCCAGAGTAGTGTTTTAAGTTCAAGTTAAGAGGTGCGCATATTGGTGTACCATTATTTGATTGTGTTTGTAGTGTTGGAGGGAATATAAGTGTCTAAATTTTACAGTGTGTCTCATTCATCCCAGTCACAGACGCTATCCTTCCACGGGTCACGGACAATTCATTTTGTTTAGTAGATTTAAGTGTTCTTGTGCTGGTTCGGGATTTTTCTCAAGGGGCGCTTCCACTGCCATTACCATCTTATAATCTTTAATAAACCCCAAGTCAAGTGAGAAAATAAAGTCCAGTAAATTCCGACCGGTTACATATATATATATATATATATATATATATATATATATATATATATATATATATATATATATATATATATATATAATATATAATATAATATACAATACATATATATATATCATATACATATACATATATACAGTATATATATGTATACATATATATATATATACACACATATATACATATACACTATATATATATATATATATATATATTATATTATATATATATATATATATATTTATTTATATATATGCAAGTAAATCACTGTAGTTGCGTGTGATCTAGGTATATGCTGATAACCACAAGGAAAGAAGAAAACACGAAGTTTCCAAGCGCTTTCGTGTAATTCACATGTTTAGGGATGAGTACAGACTAAGGAGAAGTACAAAACAAGGTGTTTATATACAGAGGAGGGTGAGATCAGGTCCACAATGGTCAGGTATTAGGTAATGACCCTACTAATCTTTAAATAGCACAGCAACGGTCGGTAGTCAGGTCAGAGGGTAAGGTGACCCAACCTTCTCACCTGGTTACAAATCTCTTAATTACAAAATTGTCCAGTTTGTACATGCCATTACTCAAATTCATGTTGAATGCTTCAGTATGTTTAATGAGACTAGATTCTATGATGTTCCTATTATCAATTGAATTACAAGGTAATATTGAGGAGGCATTATCCCAGTCAATGCAATGCTTATTATCCCTCAGATGAACAAACAGAGCATTGGATTCCTGGCCTGTCCTAACACTATATTTATGTTGTTTAAGCCTAGTTACAAGATCTTTACCTGTCTGGCCTAAGTAAAACATATTACATTCCTTGCAAGGAACTTTATAAATGCAACCAATTGTGTTGTTGGGGGAGTTTTTGATTAACATTTGTTAAACAGTGCATGAGTTTTTAAATGCCACATTGACGTTCCAGGTTTTTAGTTGTAAAGGAATTTGAGAGAAATTTTTGTGAAATGGCAATATTAATATATTCTTATGGTCATGAGTGGGCTTGGGATCAGTTCTATAAAAGGATTTCTTAGTAATGTTCAGGCATTTGTCTATGAAAGATCTATGGTATTTAAGGTTTGAGCCAATATTATAGATATATTTATATTCCTCAACAATGAATTCCGGGCTGCAAATTCTCAAAGCACGTAAAAACATTGTTGAAAATACTGACTGTTTGACTCTATTATGGTGGGCAGAATAATAATGAATGTATGAACACACATTAGAGCACAGGTCAATGACCCACCCACATCAGGGCCCGGGGGGGGGGCATAATGTAAGTATAGTATAGTATGGTATGGTATAGTATAGTAGGGGGCAGTGAAATTTTGCTCAAAGCTGTACTCTTCAGGCATTGTTCCTTATACATATCTAAGACTCTATGCCAAATTTGAAGCTGATATGTCGAGGTTTAGTCTGCCGCATTTTCTACTGAAATTTTTAAATTTACCTACAGTACTAGCCAAACAGCCGCTGTGGCGGTGCAATGTTCTGTTCAGTGTTTATCAACTTTTTTTTCATATCTCTTATTTCATTTAAGTTGTCTTGTTGCAGATGAGTATGGTGCTATGTCTATATTGATTATCAGCCACCAGTTCACAGAACCGGACAAGACTCCCTACACTGGCTGCCGCTTGTGACCGATACTTGATTAGTGATTATGCTGGAGCTGCCATTGCTACTGCCACCTTAACTGACTATAGCATTATCACAAAGGATGACAAGAGTCAGGTTATTGGACCACATAAGCTGCGGGATGCGAGACAAAAATACCGATTTAAGAGGCAAGAAATTGAGATGGCTAGTTTAGATAATTTGACGTCACTCTATTTTGATGGTAAGAAGACCGCCACTCGTGTGATGATAAAGAATGAGAAGACCGAGAAATGGAGTTCGAGGATGATGGTGAAAGATCATTATGTCATCATGGTTGAGCCTGGCAATGAATATCTCACACATGTGACTCCCAAGACTGGACACGGAAAGCAGATTGCCAAAACTATTCACGAGTTTCTGGTGGAGAAAAATCTAACCCAGCAGCCCATTGTGTGTGTTGGTTGTGATGGAACCAATGTAAATGTAGGATCAGAAAATGGAGTCATTCATCATCTTGAAATGTTACTTGGTCACCCGCTCCATTATTTCATATGTCAGCTTCACGGAAATGAGCTGCCTTTCCGCGCAGTTTTTTATCACTATGATGGTAAACCAAGTGGTCCTGAGCATTGGCGTGGTCCCATTGGAAAGCAGATCAAGGAGTCTTTGTCTGAGCTTCCAGTTGTCGCCTTCCAGCCAGTCAGTTTCCCTGATTTCCCTGTGTTTAATGATGAAGTGGAGAAAGATCTGTCCTGGGATCAGAAATACCTGTATAGGATTTGTAAAGGAGTTATCACAGGTGTTGTTGAAGATGAGTTGGCTGCTATTGAGCCAGGTCCTCCCTGTGTGTCAAGGTGGAACACCTTATGGAGTAGAATCCTCAGGCTGTATGTAGCAACATCAAGACCCAGCCATGAGTTGAAAAGAATTGTCATTACAATAATAAAGTTCAGTGCTCCAATGTGGTTTTACATCAAGATACACCCTTACGTAACACACGGCTCAAGGAACGTATTCCAGTCCCTGCTATATATGAAACACCTGAATAGTGAGGAGGAGACGATAGTGAAGAAGGCTGTCCAGAGAAATGCATACTTCGCCCACACAGATCAACTTCTTCTTGGTATGTGTGCAGATGAGGACATGACTGTTAGAGAAAAAGCTGTCTCAATGATAAATTTATATTGTATTGTGTTGTGTTGTGCTGTGTTGTGTTATATTATATTATATTATACTATAATATACTATACTATAATATACTATACTATAATATACTATACTATACTATACTTAGTAGGGGGCAGGGAAAAAACACTTTTATTTGAGTTGCAGGCTGCACTTTTCAGGCATCGTTTGTATGGCTGTAACAAACACCTGTGCAAAATTTCATGCCATTTCATGCATACTTACCCTGCTGCATCGCGAACGACTTTTTGTCAACTTTTAGTGTATACCAAAAATTAGGTGTCATTTAATGTTTTCCAGGATAATGATAAATTTTACATGGGTGACATCGATTTAATTCACATGTTATTTTACAGGTACACCGTATAGAAAATCATTACAAGTTCATATTGAAATTCTTTTTTGTGCGGAACCTTGGCATCATTTTCCTAGACAATAATCTTTGCCTAATATATCCATCTCTCGATTCGTATCCCGTCACTTCAGTGCAAGCTTCAGTCATCACTTTTATGCCTCTCTCGACCGTCTGAGTGCTGTTTGGCCACTTGGGCACCACTAATGGTGTCTCAAGAATGTCATTAACCTGTAGATTTGACAGAGAAGCACTGTAAGGAGGCTCAGTCTTGAGTTCATTCCTCCAGTTAATCATGGAATGATAGTTTTTTGCTTGCCACTTTAGTTTCGGAGTCACCACCTTTCTCATGTTGACTACAGGAGGCACATCCTCATTCCCATCTCCATCTTTACCCTCCTCATCAGTATAGTTTAACAAATTCTCGTCAACAGCAGCATCAAAATCTTCCTCCTCCTCTTCAGATCTGCCAGTGCATTCTTCCTTTTGCTGATTCTCCTCTCTAATTTTTCTTAATTCCTCGTTATTATTGTCTGCTTCGTGTGATATCTAATTTATACTTTTTATTGCAGAGTGACGGGTGACGGTATATGATACTTCCCGTAGGTGTAAGGGTAAGAGTGAGGCCTTTATGGTGGTGTTACTGTAGGCAGGTTAACATTACTTTGTTTTATTATTGACCTGTGTTAGTAAATTAGTTTACTGTTCCTGGGTTAGTGGCACACTTATCAATGTTAACTATCCATACTTCTATTCAAGAGTTATGGTATACAAACAATGCCACAACTAATAATGTAAGTACAACAGTGGTATGTGGGCTGTAATGCCACATGAATACTATACTAAATCTTACTGTTACATTGTTACAACACGTCTTCTCTTTTGTCTCCAACATACAATACTGTACACATGTTCCACCCCAGACAACACATATGTGCACCCAAGAACCGTCTGGCCAGTTATATATGGGACCAAACAATGTCTCTTGGTGTGCTCTTATGTATGAATGTAATGGGGCCCAAATATAATATTAAGGAGCCCATCTGGACAAGTGTCCGCCCGGATATAACCAAATGTGTGATGTTGGGAGAACATTAATTTACCACTACCTTGTATTTACCTTGAAGTGTTAGTTTTATAAACTGTTTTTGGTGAAACAATTGAACAAGAGAGAATGACCAAATATATAATAGTTGTTAGTAATGTAACTCAACATTTT